GGTGTTCGAGCTTTTAAGTGATAGAGCCTAATTTTGTCGATAGTGGAGTTGGGTTGTTTAGAGAAAGGGAAAGTAGTAATCCAAGTGCCTCCAATAAATACAACACATGCTTTTCCTTAGCACATCCAATCATAATCTTCGAGTCCTGGTCATAGAATATACAGTGAGAGGTAAAGGTCACCTTGCAATTCATATTATGAGAAAACTTATTCATTAACATAAGATTAGTGAAAAGCTTTGAAACATGATGTACATTCTTAAGAGTAAAAGGGCAACTAATCTTCATATTGTGAATGCCTAGTACAATGGTTTGTGAACCATTTTCAATAGCTGTTTCTTTGTTAATAGGAGACGGATTATATATACTAAATTTGTGGGAGGATTATATCAGATGATTAATGGCTCTTGAGTCAATAATCTATGAGCTTGCAAATGATTTATCTGAATTTAGATCATGTGAAAGAGACAACTTAGCTGAATGTGCTAATAAATCGATACCTTTGAGTTTTTTCAGATATTTGTGGAGATCTGCGGTCATTTTTTGTATCCTTATTCCTTGTTGGAGATAGAAGACTCTCAATTTAATTTCCAACACCTTTATTATGCCTTAGTTTCTTGCAGAAAGTGCACCACAAGTTGGCTTGGTTATCCTCAATTGTTTTTGATAATTTAGGGGTCCCATATTCCTTAGTTGCCTACTAATGGGATTAGACCCATTAGTTAGTATGTTGATCCTTAAGTTAGCCAAGGTTCTAGTGTTATTCTTTAATTTTCCTCTTCTACAATGATGGAGGTTATCTTATTCAAAGAGGGCAAATCTTTTTTACTCAAAATTTGAACTTTGAATTGGTCAAACCCAACATTGAGGCCTAATAGGAAATCATAAACTCTGTTTTTCTCAATAAAGGTTTTGAATGTACGTGCATGCTCACTGCATTTCATGTCTATAGTAATCCACCTCTAACCTCAAGCTTTTTAGGATATTAACATATTCTGTAAGAGACTTGCTTTCTTGTTCTGTAGAGGTGGTCTTTACTTTTAGTTCATAAATCTCCACTATATCTGGAACTTTGAAGTATGTTTGTTTACATCCCAAATGTCTTTGGCAGATGGAGGAAACATGCAAGTGTCACTGATTTCTGGCAACATTAAATTCCAGAGATAGACAATGATTATAGAGTCTTCTTCGTCCTACCAATCAAATTTCGGATCTCTTAGTTTGGGATTTATTCCTAAAAGATGGTTGATTTTTCCTTTTTCTTTTAGGAACATCTAGACCAATTGGTAACATTTCAAATAAATTTTTTCATTCAGGCAATAAGCTGCTTGAATGTGTTGTAACTCTCCAGCAGATGGTCTGAAGTTATCCCTTCAATATTCACTCCTGTGTATCATGATGTTATTTCGAACATTGTGTATGGATTTCAGATGATTAAGAGATGTGGGCTGGAAATAGTGCTGAAAACTGGGCAGAGTGGTTGGTGCACATCTTGAGGCAGTTTGTGCAAGTGGAAGCAGTCCTAGAAACAGGGCAGAATGCAGGAAGAGCTGTTGGAGACAGAGTGCGCGGCAGGGGCAATGCTGCTGGAGACAGAAAGAGCTGCAAGGAAGGTTGTGCAACAGGGTAGGTTGTGCAGAAGAGCAGGTGCCGCTGGAGCTTCTGGCGCGGCTGGAGACAGAGCTGTATGTGACTGGGCAGTGGTAGGGACCTGGTTCGGCAATGAAGGCCTGTTTTGGGAGGAGGGCCGGCTATGAAGGTGGTTGTAGATTAGGGTTGTCTTTGATATTTTCTTCTATTCTACCAATGAAGACTAGATTAGCGTTTGAGAAAAGAATATAATGTTATGATTATTATTGAATAATTTGATCCTATATGGACACAAGTTTAAGAGCAAGAAAAAAAGCACTAATAATTAGTTATATAAGTTTATTCTTAAAAATATTCCTTTTACAAGGAAACAAATAATCGCAAATTATACACTTTCCAACAGGAACTATTAAAATAGGTCTATTATTGGTTTAAGAATGTTATTTATTATTTTTCTGGAAGTCCCATTTTTTTATTATTTTCCTTATTTATTCTATCAAAAGAGAAACTGTTTTTCTTATTTAGAGACTCTAGTCGTATTAGACTATATAAACACCTTATAAATGTTTTTCTTACTTATATGGATGATTCTTCATTATTTCATGAACTGCTTATGAATAAAATATATTGATTTTCTCTTGTTGAATTGAATGCCTACAAACATGATTGTGGTTGTCAATTCTTATGAGTGTGAATTAGATTTATTCTCTCTTTAAAGCTTTCTATTGTTCAAACCCTATTTTATTGTTCTATGTTAATGTAGTAATAGAGCTAAGATTCTTGTTTTTGGTATCAAATTTTCATATCACGAACTCATAAATTTTCCAGATCCTTGAAATATCTTAATAAGTCGAAATTCAAAAGTATCCAAGAACTCAAATTGCAAATAGACGTTGAACATCAGAGCTGCAACAGTTTCTTTCTCGCACAAAATTCAGCTACTACCAGGAGTGAACATACAGCCACTACCAGAAGTGGACATACAGCCACTACCATCAGCATCAGAGGCTGCTGGTGAGCCATCCCATCAAACTGCAGCTGCAAATACTGTCAAAATTAGCAGCACTCGCCACCAAACCTTTGAATTGTTGCTACCTTGCCAAAAACTCCCTTTTCCCAGATACCTCAACAATATTTGACATCTGATTCAAAATCATTGTTGCTTGATGAAGCTTTAGCCAAAATGCTAACATTTGAAGGTCACTCTAAGTTAAGGTGTGGGTCTCACTTGTGTCATCTACAAGTGGGGTTTTGTCAAAATCTTATTAGTTGGGTAGTTTAAATTTGCTTGATCAAATACAGTTGGCCCAACCCGGATTTAGTCAACTCCAGCAGTTATTGAGCTACTGGATCTTAAATTTTCTTTCAGCCTGCTCTTTCAGTTTTAGATGTCAGTGTAGATAAATTCACAATGTCTGTGCACTTCTTGAGCAGGATGACTCTTTGGGCAAGTTAATGTTTATTCATGCATTTAAACAGAGTTCTCTGATTCAAATTGGGTGTTAAACCTTTTAATTAACTTGGTGGAAGAGAGAATAAGTACATTGTTAACATGGCTCCATTTGGTAAAGGAATTGAACAGTGACTAATGGAAATTTGTCCTATTCTTACAATCTTTTAGATTCGACTGATGAAATTCTTGGTATTCTTGACCAAGTTAAATATTGTCTATCAGAAGAGTACCAATAACCATCCATGTCATTTAGCAATGCAGTTTTTCCACTATTAAAAGCAGTTCAGCTGATCAACCTCTCACGCCCTCAGATCTTGATGTGAGAATCGAAGTTGTCTACTGTATTTATGAGCTAACTAGGATATTTGTGCCAGATATTCCTTATAGCGATATCTTGCCGAAGAACGTTTTGAGTTAACTGCTTCAACATTTAAAATAATTGCTTGCAGGATGAAGTAATCAAATGAAAAAGAATATCTGATATATCTAGTAGTACTGGACTATATCTAGTAGTAGTGGATCTTGATTACGAAGGATTATTGTAGAAAATTTCAAGCAATTCTTGAATTCTATTTGACCTCAATATAAGGATGTTCCCTTACACGTCGAAACGATTATGAGCTTTTACGAAAATGTGATTGCTTGCTGGTAGAGTTGTTGTCTCCACTCCTATACAATGTCCAAAGAGATAAAGGAAAAGTCACAAATTGCTTGTGTTGGTTGGGACAGTTTTTAGAAGTTGTGAATACTAAGTGTAAGCAATCTCTGATGCAGCAATAAAATCATCAGGTACTTTCCTGCAGGATTCAGTGATATAGTGGCTACCACAAGCTAGAAGCTATCTTTCTTTGCACAAGATGTTGTCCTTGTCATTGGCCACCCAACTAATAAGATCAAGTGAATAGATGGGGTAACTGAGGATATTATTATACATGTCAATTCTACTGAAGAAATTGAATAACCTAGTAATCGATCTCTCAATTTAATAATAAGGCAATGATATCACTCATGTTGAGGGTGATGATGTATGCTAGATGATTTGAACTGCATGAAGAATATCAAGGCACTACCTGTAGAGGCTAAACCAACAATGTTTTTGGTTACTAATAGCAATAATCAAACTTCGTTGGCTCTGATTTTTTTCATGCCAATTTGTTCAATAATCCTATGAAATACATGCATTTGCAGATGTTCTTATTTACTCAGATGATCTGAAGTTTTGCAGGTTTCACTTGTTTGGATGGCATGTCCAAACTTTCACCTTCTTGTTGCTTTGACAATTCGAAACTCAAAGGTCGAGTTTTTTCGTAGCGGGAGAGAATGAAACCAAAATGGAAATATCCTGAAACAGACATTTTATTATTTATAAGATATTTTTGTTATCATAATCATTATGTATTTTTAAGGACGTTTTAGCTTATTAAGAGCCATTAGAATAGGCTTGTTATTGGTTTAAGAATTTTGTTTCTTATTTAGTTAGGGCTTTATTTTGTTATTGTTTTCATATTTAGAGATTCTAGTTATGTTAGGCTCTGTAAACACCTTAAAAACATATGAATAGTTCTTCGTTATTTTATACACTCAGCCTTTCTTATTGCATAAAACATTTATGCAATATGTTGTTACTATTTTATCTTGGCTTTGGCAAAGTGACTTCCTATTTCCTTTTCCATATTTTTTTCTCTAGCTTAAAAAGTAAAAGGAGTTTTTTGATAATATGTTATCAATGTGAGACACCTGTACTTTACAGTCCCCATAACTGAAAATTTTGTTTCTTTTTTCTGGTCTGATAATTCTCCTTTTGCCTCCTAAAATTTATTTATTTTTAAATTTTAATCTTGTACTTTTTATCATCGATTACCAAGTGCTTGACTTAGTTGAATTATAAAATGAAAATCTTTCTAGTGTCCTTTATTTTTTCTACACCAATGGTAATTGGGACACACCCAACTTATGCAGGGGAATTTAATGATGTTCTGGATGGCAGCGGCTCTAAACAACTCTATGATTCCCCAGAAGAGATTAATCTTATCTACTGCAATGTCAAGAGCTCATCCTTGTTGGAGTCTAGTGGCTCGGTGCTTTCAGATCACTGTCAAAAGTTACTGCATATTGAAAACCTGACTCTACAGACGCCAATAAACAAAGCTGTATTACTTATGGATTTGTCATTGGTGATTAACTGCAAAGAGCATTTATTGGTTAGTGAATGTATTGTCTTGAATTCTGAGATTATCAGTCAGTGCAAGCCTGTAGGCATAGAAGATGTTGAATCATATCTGCTTGTCTAACAAGTGATGGGACCCAGTGGGGAGTGTAAAACTTCTTTGTTAAGAGCAATGGCTGGGCTTTGGAGTACTGGAAGAGGAAAAATCACATTTTATTTTGAGGATGAAAATGAGAATCCACCATCAACTTTAGATATTTCTTCTCTTGAAGAAAAATCTGTGCATAGTACGGATGAGGAATCTAGCAGGCATGTAAATGGAAAATCTACAAGTGCATTCTTCCTTCCTCAAAGACCATATATGGTTCTTGGAACACTTCGGCAGCAGTTGCTTTATCCTATGTGGATTGAAGATGTGGTGCTGACCTCAGATGCTGCTAAACCACCTGGTTTGCTTTTTCATATTTTTGTATCTACATGCCATGATAATTTAAACTCAAAACCAAATAATTGACCTTTTCTATCTGGTTTCCTTTTTACCCCCCTCCTTCATTTTGTCTATCCATTTTTCTTTTCCTGCTTTATCTAAGACCTGAGGGCTAAAAAAACAAAGATCAAAGGGGAAGAAAATAAACAAAACTTGACTTGCTGGTTTCCTTTTGTCATCGGCAACAGTGGTGTACTGCGCTAAACCTTCCTCTTGTAAGGTGGTTTTTGGATGGGAGCGCTCTACACTTGGTTTAGACTCTATCATCAAGAAGGTATATATCTAGACATGACAAAAATGCAGAGAAAGTCTAGTTGTTAAAACATAACTACTAAATTCAATCCTTTAGGTTCTATTCTCTTTTTAAATTCCTCTTCTATTCATTTACTTGGTTACTAAAATAACAAATACAATAAAACTATACAATGTGGGACGAGTAAAAGTTAAATTAACTTGTCCCGTGGATATTCAGGAATAGAAGAAATTTAGATAAGAAATAAAATACTAAAGTAACCAAAACATTAGAGATCAAGCTAAAGAAAAAATTAGAGATCAAGCTGAAGAAATCTACAGAGCATAGACTAAATGAGATAAGTTAGAACAACAATCAGAAGAATGAACCCCTAACAAAGAAATTCTTAATTCATCATCATCCTTTCTCTTTGTCGGTAGCTAATAGTCTATATAGGTATAAACTATTGTAGTAGTTTATAAAAAAGAAAATCTAAGAAGTTCTAGTTCCTATAATACTTAAAAACTACCTAAATATGAAGTTAAAAATAATAAAATACCTAAAT